AGTGAAAATATCTAGAATAGGTAAATTCATAGAGACAAAAAGTAGATAAGAGGTTACTGGGGGATGGGGGAAGTTATTGTTTAAGGGGTATAGAGTTTCCGTTTGGGGTGATGAGAATTTTCGGAAATAGGTATTGGTGATGGTTACACAACATTGTGAATGCAATTAATGCCATTAAATTGTACACTTAAAACAGCAAATTTTTTTTTTTTGTGAGGAAGATCAGCCCTGAGCTAACATCTATTGCCAATCCTCTTCCTTTTTTTTTCCCCAAAGCCCCAGTAGATAGTTGTATGTCACAGCTGCACATCCTTCTAGTTGCTGTATGTGGGACGCGGCCTCAGCATGGCCGGACAAGCGGTGCATCAGTGTGCACCCAGGATCCGAACCCGGCCGCCAGTAGCGGAGCGCGCGCACTTAACCGCTAAGCCACCGGGCCGGCCCAAAACAGCAAATTTTATGCTATTTTTTTTTACCACAATAAAAAAGTAAATTAAAAAGGATAGAAAAATACAAGAACAGTGAAACCCAAGGCTGAAGGTTCTTTCCGTCTTTAAGCACTCCTAGTTTCAGACATACAGGATTTCTTTTTTTGCCCACTTTCACAATTTAACAATTCACATAATTTGGCAAATGATAGCATGCCCTTTATTAGAGATAAAGGCACCACTTTATGGACCAGTAAATTGCTCAATTTTCCCCTGTTTGACTCATCATCACCATCATCATTTTCCTCTATCATTAGTCAGAATTCTGAACAATAATTTGCAAATATAATTTTATTTTATGATCTTTATGACAAGAACTCAGAGTGGTAGTTGAATCAGCTTTTTAAAAGCTTTACTGGAAGCACCAACTATTCCCGAAATAGGTTGTATAGAGACAAATGAAGGGTAAAATCATCCCCTATACTGAGTTGTGAATATAGTGTTTTTCCTTATTTTATAGAGATTATATTGTTTAATCAGGCTTTTTTCAGTCTTCATGCTTTAGAAATGAATATTACCTGCACTGCTATAGGGAAAAAAAATAAGACCACTCTGTACTTTAATTGAAGTACATTTTTAATTAATGGTACATCTAAAGATCTCGAGAGTTTAAATTACTCTGTGCCTAAAGTTACTTCTTCATATGTGCATTAAAGGAGAATTCCATTAGCCTCTCCCCCGGTGAAGGTTTACATTCCTGGGTCCAGGCTGATGGGCATGCTCTACCCCGACTGATGGACCTCTCACTTATTTTTATCACTTTGTGCCTTTTTCATCATTAAGAGTAGAAATTAAAATTGCATTCTCAGTTACAAATTAGCAAGACAAAATTACTAAAGATAAAGCCATGTATTATCACTTCAAATACATGGGAATAATTTTCAGTTTGCATTGATACAGAACTACTGCTTCTGTGAAAACAATGCCATTGACCATCAGATTTCTGTTTGTACTGAAGCCATGAATAGTCTCATCCAGTTGGGGAAAACCTCAGCTCTGGAAGATCAGAGTCCAACAGTGTTTCATAATATTATATGTAGTCGTTTTTGTTTTCGTTTTTTAGAAATGGGAGTTTAAAGTGATTTCTCTAACCAAATTTATGATTATTGGTGAAACTGAGAATACAAAACTAAGGCTTCCTATTTCCAGTTCAGTTTTCTAATTGCTCAGACAAAATTGTCTTTCATAGAATCTTAAATATTTTTTATTTCAATTTCTTACCTTTGACAGCTCAATTATACATAAAAAATATTGTACTCCATGTACTAAAATTATTGATTTTTGTTTCCAAGGGTCCCACTTATGTAAGTAAGGTAAGTATTTATGTAAATATACCTAAACTATAGAACTTAAAATCAGAGCAGCCCAGCTTAGAGCAGAGGCAAAGAGTAAGAGCCAGCCGGACCTGAGGAGGTGACCCTGTGGGGGCTCTGCGCCTTGAGGTGATTATGCTTGGGCTCCACCCTCCTGAGGGGAACCTGTAAACATCTGGCCCGCACTCCCGGCACACACTTCACAGCCCTGAAACTCAGAGAGGCCACTGGCTCTACTCTTTGGCCACTAGAGACACTATAAAAACTTACTAATGAGGATTATGTTATTTAGAATTTTTAATACTCACTTGAATAATGTCTGGCCAGCACAAAGTCACCTTATGTGCAAGTTTATCCTTAAACAATCAACTGAAAAAAGTAACTTCCTCCACAGATTAACTATATAAATAAAATAGTGTTTGTCTTCTTAAGGAAACACATTATTTTCGAAAATACTAAATCTGCCAGAAGAACAGGAGTCTGTTGAGGCCAGTGATTTGATATATTAATTACAAACTCTCCCATCCACTTTTTAAAGCTGAGATTATACTAGTCAATAACTGGATGGCCAAGTTTCAGTTATTAAATGTACCTGAGAGTGATAACATTTTTACAAATTCTATAATTCATACTTTTCATTAAATCAGCCAGGCCTAACTTAATTATTCCAAATAAATGAAGTTTTATTATGCCCCTTAAAATGCGAGTCCACTTTCCTATGCACACATTATCTGGTCTATTAATTCACCAGACGGCAACTGCACCCAACAGTCAGTGTTCCCGATGGTTGTAGAATAAGGAAAGACGGAGAGATGGAGCCCTGCTGGCTATGGAGGCAGAGTCCCGCTCAAGCGTCACCATTCACAGGTACCTCCAGTGCTACTGATTCAGAAACACACTTTCTTCAGTTACTCAGAACTGGTCTGGCTCAGGGGACTGACTCATGTTTATCCAAACCCACACGGGGCTGATTTAAAATCCAGACTGCCAATTTATTAATTTACAACGGGAGATGGGCCTGGCTCAGGGGTCGGGGCAGGGTGTTCTAACGTAGGGGACAACCTCCTCAGGGACAGGTCCACCGGGGGACCAAATTAAAGATCAGAAGGTTGCTGGGTTAGCAAAGATTTAAGCAAAGGGAGCCAGATTTCCTCAAGAGAAGCTTCCATGGAGCTACAGACGCCTCATTAGATACACCACGCAACTCACCAGGCAGAGCTTTCTAAAGCCCCAATGCCCGATATGGACTAATCAGAGCAGAGCTAGACAAACACACTGGCACCCTCCTAATTTAACATCCCCCCTTTGAAGCCTGAGCACCGTCCTCCACTCCTCCATTAATGTCTGTTTTCAGACAGGGGGCACTTGCTTCAGGCACTTTCCAGTCAGTAGGTTGTACCCTGGTCACTTGTCTCTTGTGAGACATACATGGAAGGAAAACCTCCGTCATTATCTGTTGGTTGTTACCAGTTTCACACTAGCCTCATTCCAGAATTCCAGGGGCACCTGACCTGGGAAAAGTGTATAAAATTGCAAAACAACACAATTAGTTTGAACTCTGGCAAAATCATGACCTGGCCTGCCTCAGCCTTTGCCACCAGGCAAACAAAATCCTACTTGGCCAAAGAGTCTCAAAGGCTAAACCACCCGTGTACACAAAGCTGCATAACTACTGTGTGACATCCGCTCAGCAGCAAGGGTCTCGTGTTAACAGCTGACAATACGTGATATGTGAATGCAGTTCAGTTCATCGAGGACCTTCTTTTTTTATTATTAAGGTGGTAAAACACACATGACATAGAATTTACCATCTTAACCATTTTTAAGTGTGCAGTTCAGTAGCATTAAGTACACTCACATCTTTGTGCAACCATCTCCGTCATCCATCTGCAGAACTCTTTTTGTCTTGCAAAAAGGAAACTCTGTACCCATTAAACACTAACTCCCCATTCCACTCTCCCCCAGCCCCTGACAACCACCATTCTACTCTCTGTCTCTATGAGTTTGACTACTCTAGATACCTCATAGAAGCGGACTCATACAGTATTTGTGTTTTTGTGACTGGCTTATTTCGCTTAGCATAATGTTCTCAAGGTTATCCATGTTGTAGCATATGCCAGAATTTCTTTCTTTTTTAAGGCTGAATAGTATTCATTGTCTATATATAACACATTTTGTTTATCCATTTAGCCATTGATGGACACTTGGGTTGCTTCCATGTTTTGGCTATTATGAATAATGCTGCTATGAACACGGGTGTACAAGTATCTGTTCAAGACTCTGCTTTCAATTCTTTTGGGTATACACCCAGAAGTGGAATTGCTGGGTCATAGGTAATTCTATTTCTAATTTTTTGAGGAACCACTATATTGTTTTCCATAGTCGCTATACCATTTTACATTCCCAGTTTCTCCACATCCTTGCCAACATTTATTTTCTATCATGTTGTTTTGTTTTGTTTTTTATCATAGCCATCCTAATGGATGTGAGGCAGATTTGGCGGAACCCTTTAAATACATCTCAAAATACTTATGTACCACAATTCTAAGATAGGGCTTTAGAATTCCCAGATTCCAAAGAGGTATACTCTTGCATATCCTACATCGTTTGCTGTGCATGATCCATGAGGCAGCTGGGGAGCATTAACTTCAGCTAGCAGGACGGTAAACTGCAGCTCAGAACAGCTAAGCAGCTCGCCCAGGGAAGCAGCAGGGCAGGACCAGGCTCACATCCTCTGACAAGCGCCCTTCCACTACACTCCGCAGTGCAACATTTTGAGGGCCGGGGCAAGGCGAAGTAAAGGTGATAGAACTTTCTTGGGCTGAAACAACACTAAATACAAACCTGCCAAGCAGAACATCACCTCAGCCCCCTAAGGCAGCCAAACTTCTGGAATGCCGAGTTCTGAACCACGAGGCTGACTCTTATCTACCACAAACCTCCAAGGCGCTGCCTTGTGTGTCCCTGAAGGGCAGCCCTCTGAGTTCCATTACAGTCACCGGGACAAGCAGAGGTTCAGGTTCAGAGGGCTGACTCATGAAGCTCTTTTGTGGAGACAATTACCCCAGGGGAAGTACAGGAATTAAAGAATTAAAACCAGCTTTAGCCTGGCTGATGAGTACCCAAATAACAACTCACAGATTTGTTTTCTTTTCCATGAAAAAAAAAAAAATTCTGGCACGAAAGGGAAGGACAGTACCTGCAGTTGGAGCCAAACCCTTGGCAGCTTCCTCAGACAATCCAAGGTATTCTCTAACGAGCTGACTCAGTGTTTGGTAGGCCACATCCAGATCATCTACAGTAAAGGAGAGAGTCTACTTTAAAGCAAGAGAATCATATCAAAATATAGTCAATTTGGTGTATTTTTTTGGTGGCATTTTTTGGTGGTAATGATTTTTTAGCTACATTTAATTTTATGAGTATTGTGGTAGGTAGAATTCTAAGACCCAATGCCACTCCTCCCTTGCGTAATCTCATCCCCTCGAGTCGGCAGAACCTATGAACATGATGAGATATTACTCCTGTGATTACGTTGCGTTACACAGCAAAAGGGAGTTTTGCAATAATTAAGGTTACTTATCAGTAGAATTTGGGCTAATCAAAAGGGAGATTATCCAGGTGGGCCTCTCTAATCACATAGCCCCATAAAAGCAGAGAGTTTTCTGGTAGCGGAAGAGGAAGGCAGAGACTCAAAGCATGAGGAGGATTTGATGTGCTGTTGCTGGCCTGAAGATGGAGGGGGCCACATGGACAGGACCTGGGAGCAGACTCTGGGAAATGAAGGCAACCCTTGGCAGATAGCCAACAGGGACCTCCGTCCTACAACCACAAGAAACTGTATTCAGGCAGCAATAAGAATGTAGTTTGGAGCAGATTCTTCCCCAGTGACCTTATACTTCAAAAATCAAACTTGGCTGAAAGTTACTGACCTGCATTGATTACTGCATCAAAATATCCTGGAAATTTCTGATTAACTTTAACATAAAGGTCCACTCTGGAGACAGCAAATTCAATCTCTACACGACTAAATAATCCTTTTCTCCGCAAGTATCCCTCATATTTTTTCTTGTTCATGGGTACCACTAGGATATAGCGAGGCTCAAAAGAGGAACATTTCAAACTTCTCACACCCTATGTGTTTAAAGAAAAGATAATAAATTAAAAACAAATACACGATTTAGAAACCATTTTGGAGATGTCTGACAATATAGGTATAATAAGTAGTGTTACATTGAAGAATTTATTTTATCTGTATAATTAGCTATTATTTTCCTATAAATATTTCAAGATCAGATTACTTCTCTCTGTTCATCAAACATTAAACTATCATTGGAAACATAAGAATTCATTCTACCTGGTATTCTCTAACTAATCATTCTTATGAATATGACTGTTAAAAAGGAAAATTGCTAGATACAAATAGGTACACTCACAGCAGTACTGCATCTTTATTACTGAAAAGTAATTTCAATTCTACATCTCAAAAGGCATCCTTGCAGCACCAGGAGACAGTGATCTTACCAGAGAGGAAAGGCTCCTCTGCTACCCTTCTGTCTCCTTGGGACTCTTTCTGTTCCTAAACTGGCAACCTGGTTGGTTGGTCCCTATTATATCTCAGGGCCTCTTCCCAGTGCACGGGAAAGCCAAGCTCACGATACCCTGATACCAGGAGCTCAGAAGGTGAAACAACAGCAGGTAGTGGTCTGTGGATATGGGGGGTTGGGTCGTGACTGCAGCTCTCCAGTTACTGTAGACTCCGTGCAAATCCCTCAAGCTCCCTGAGTACCAGTTTCCTCATCGGTAAAATAAAAGAGCTATTCCAAATGGACTCTAAAGTTCCTTCCATCTCAATCCTATCATCAATAGTTTAATTCAGTGTTCAAAATCTTTGTTTTCAAAATTCAGGGGAAGAAATATAGGCTCTTTTTAAAAATAATTTCTAAAAGAGTCAATGACAAGAACAGTTTGGAAAAGTGCTTCAGCTGGGGAGAATCAGGAGAATAAAACCTGATTCATAGAGTCAACATCTAGGAAATGAGTAACAGAAAGCTCTCAGGGAGAAAAAAAGGACAACAGGAGGCAGCACTCAGAGAATTGATAAACTGGAAACAGGGAGACGCAATTTGCTGCAGAGTTTCTACACTCAAAGACGCATTAATTTGTATTTCTGCCTTGTCCAAGGAAGACATTTTGGGGAAAAGGCCCTTTTTTGTTTACTAGCATAGAAACAATGAAAACCTTCTTAAAGATGTGAAATCAATCAATTGCAGGAAGATATGAATTGCAGGATTTTGAAGTTAGCAAAATTAAAGAGCTGGAAGAAATGTGACCAGTTTCACTGACGCTACACAACACTTACACCAACGCAAGGAGCCAAAAAGACTCACAGTCTCCTGCTCTGTGAAGTTATCAAGGAAACAAGTTTTCAGGAAGATTCAGAGTTGATAGTAAAGGAATACTAGATATGCCCAGATTTGACTTTCTGTAAGTTTGGTCTAACGGAATCATTTTTATTACATTTTTTCCTTCTGATTACAAAAGTGATATACCGTTTGGTGAAGGTAACTTGAAAAAAAACCAATCAGCTGTCTTTGAAGATTTCAAATATCTAATAAAGCCACATATTTTAAAAACAAATGAGTGGAATATTCATGCTTTTACTCTGGATCTCGATCTTGGAGAAATTTCTGTGTACTCTGATGTAGAAGATCATTGGGGGAAGATGGGATATTGGGGCAGAGAGAGAAATCTCCTGAAACCTGCAAGTCTAACTTTCGGAAAGAATGAATACATTGCCACCAGTGAACACCTGGAGTCAAATGACAGCCTAGCCCACACACCTCCCAGGAAGAATGACGGAACAAGGTCCACTGCACGGAGCTGCCATTGTCCTGAGCGCACAGGGAACCAGTTCCACACCCTGTAAGAATCACACTTTATCTAATATCACTTTATATAAACAGAGGCCATGCTCTAAAAACAAAAAGACTGTGTGGAAATAACTTAGAAAATAAATCCTGACTGGCAGTTTCACTCTTAGTGAAAGTGTGATTTCTTGTACTGTAATCTAATTCCTCTCATTTAATTTTTCATGTGTCTTACCTCCACATGCTAACTACAAACTTAAAATCTCACTTTTGTATGCATTCCTCTTGTGCTAGCTGCACATTGTAGCCCCCTCCCCAACCACAAATGTATATACAAACTCACTCACGTTAAAAATAAGTTGACTGAATGAAAAGCACTTACTTCTATTTCCATATGAATACAGCTTGCTAAACCATCTCTTGCGATACCTTCTACGGTGTCCCTACTTAATCCGTAATTGTGATTGCCATAATTAAATGTCAGAATGAATTTCCCCTGAAATTTAAGAAGTACGAAGATTTTCACATAAGAGCTGCCATAATGGAATTTAATATAAATAAAACTTGATGTCTTACTTTTATATGATTCCATAAAACATACAAATACTAGCAATTATATAAGAATGACAATGGGTTCAGGAAACTTAATATCAAACTCTGATAGAGAAATTTATGCAGAATTCTCAGCTGGCAAAAAAAAATTAGGCTCTTGGAAATAATCTGCTGACAAAACGTTAGAGGAGAGTGAAAGTACTAGGGCTTATGGCAGAACAGATCATTTTGCTTACTTACCCACTTCCTGTCAAACCTGCACCATAAACCTTCGTTATTGAGAGAGCAAAACTAATAGTTCATCCTTTGCCTCAGCCATTTCAGCTATGCCAGCAAACCAGGTAGCCCAGGAAAAGCTTCCATCCTCAAAAGCCTTGTATTTCCAAATAAGCCTCAAGGCCATGAATTACAGGGGCATCCTAAAACCTTTGCATCCTGAGATAAGCCATAAAAAACAGATTCATCCAATTTTTCCTTACAAACATAGCTTTTTATTGAAACTTCCTCAAAGTTATTCAACAGAACTGTTGTGTGCCCATAGTCATTTGAAGCATTTATACTGCCTTCTCTCTGTATTCTGGAAGCCTAGTTCTTCCAAAAGCTATACTGCTTTGCAAAAAATGCAAGTAAAAACACGACTCTCAAAATTGGCTGACTTTTTCTTTGACAGTATTATATTTATTAAACCACCAGATCTAATCTAAACAGGGAGGCTGATGACAATAGAAGGAATAAAAATGTGGACAACCTTCACAACTCTGACTCCTCATACACATAAGTTTGAAATAAATAATGAAATGAAAACTCCCAAGGCTGAATCCAATCAATTGAATCCATCAAATGGCAGCAGCACCATTAACAACAGTAGCAGTTAGGAATCTTTTATGCTATCCTGTGCCACCTGGCCCCAGATGTTCTGGAGATCTGTGGGGATGAGAGACAGGCTATCTGTCAGGGAAGCAGTGTTGGAAGGCCAGGAGACATAGGGTGTCTCTCGGGGTGGGGTGGGTCTCTGGAGGATGTGTCTGCTGCGGGTGATGAGGAAAATCCTCACACTCCCATAATCAAAAGAAGTTTGTCATACTTTCTAAAGTTAAAAACTCAACAATAAATACCCCTAATATTTTACTCCCTCAATGTCATACCTTCTTTGTTCTATGGAATAAATACTGTGACTCCTTTTCTTTTAATATACATATTATATCTATGTAGATAGGTAGATATCTAAATCTCCTGTCAGGTATATACTTTATCTTGCTTACTGTGACTCACTCTGTTTTCAAAATGTGTATCTGAATCGCTTTTCAGATCCTATGAATCTATTTACTTGGGTGTACAAGAGCCTCCCTCTGTGGATCCCTAAACATTTTCTGAAAGGCTGTAGGGTTGGGAGGAATCTTGCACTGTATTACTAATGTATAGAAAACAGGCCCTATTAAACTGATTTTTAAGAATTGAGATGAAGTGATCCCCCAGCTCCCAGGTGGTGATACTCCTTTCGTTTCTTCCTGACTATGGATTTCTTAACAAAAAGCAATAATCACATTGCAGAAACCTCCAGATCTGTGGTCTTATTTCCACAAGAGTGGAAGAGTCTCTGCAGGTATATGACTGTGTATACGTCCTTAAAAAAAAGCTTCATGTGTCTATGGGCACGTGGGGGTGGGGGGATGACCTGTGTGTTGGGGGCTGGTGAATGTATATGGAAGGGTGTACGAGTCTATGCGTGCTGTCAGAGTGGGTAGGTGTGATTGTCCACAGTAGGTGTGCAAGGTTGGGGTATGCCAGGGTTGTCTGTTGGTCGGGGGCAGGCTGTAACTGGTGGCGGCACAGGCTGTCTGGGTGGGTGTTCTATGGAGAGGGGTTCTGTGTACAGAAGGCTGAGCGTGTGGGCCTGATTGGCGAAGCTGACAATGTGTCATGAGTTTATAATCTCTAGGTTTGTCTCTCTTCATGAAACACTCTCAAACTCACTTTAAAGAAAAGGAAATCAGAAGTGAAATTCAAGTTGAAGAAAATGACATTATATTAAAGTAATATAGGTTAGCAGAAGCACTAAAAATGAGTACTTCTCAAACACATATGGATTTTTGTAGAGGGAGTAAAACTGTAAAACTAAAGATAGTATAGACGTACAGTGATTTCTTAGACTAGGAACTGAACCAGACTTACTTGATTACAGATCCGATAAGGTATGGAACATCAGGGGAGCATATGGGGTACTGAGAACAGATGAACTGAACCAAGAAAAAAAATGCCTCAGACTCTAAGAAGAGAAATTAACAGTAATTTTGGGAACTAGTTGTCTTTCAACCCAAAGAGTCCTAAGAGAATGCTTCTTGCTAATATCAAGACAACTCCTCAAACCTCTCTATTAAGCCTTTCAGAAATATAAGCACCCAGAGTACTCTTGAAACATTAGCTGACCTGCCAAAACACAGCCCTAGGAGAGAAAATTATAAAGCATTTCCAAGATGTTCTTTTGACAAGGTTAGAGGGAAAATGGCCTAGGGATTACAGCACTTTCTCACTCGGGTTTCTCTGTGGATGCAAGAGAAAACATGCACCATGTGTAAAGCTGGTCATTCTAAATTAAACTCATAGAAACTGCAGAGCCTGCGCTTGAGTGTTCCAGTTATGTACGGCGAGGTATAAGCCAGGCCCATTATTTGCGGATGGTGGACAGTGAAGGAGGGAGGAAGGAGAAGTGGCGGGGGTGTAGCTACAAGAGCATCACTGGTTGGATGGTTATTTTTCACAAGAAGAAACATAGACCGGTCCTTAATCCAGTCCTTTGCAGGCTTCAGAAAAAAAATACAAGTGGTGCAGGATTCATTTGGTGGAAGAAAGGATGATAATATAAACAAAATTAAGGTCCATGGTGAAGAGAAAATAAAAGGATTACAGATTCATCAGTAGTGATGAAGATCTGAGATACTTTTTCAGTTTAACTGAAGGCATGCGTAAATATGTATTGATTATTAGCATGTACTTTTGACAGAAAAAACACACTTGGGTATGAGGATTCCCTTTGTAGGTAAAGGCCAAGAAAGAAGAAATAAATTGTTTTTAAGAAAATGAACTCAGAGATGAGGGTGTCGTGAATTATTACCAATAACTAGATTATCAGGGTTTCAGAGGGGAAAAAACTGAAGCTGAACAAGATTGCCCAGAGCTCCTATGAAATAGACTAATGCAGGGCAAGTACCCTCACCTAGGAAGGACACAGACCTGAAAGAAATTAGGAATCTTCTCCAGTCTGGTAGCAGGGGCTTCCATCTGCATTAGTGAACTGCCTGGCCTCCAGACCCAGGACTTCTCAAACAGGGAAGTTACGGTGGGAGGTTAAGGCTGTACACGTGTCCAGGACAGACCAACTTAATGGGACACACCATGGTGAACCAGTGCTTAGAGTCACAACAATTAGAACCCGCCAGTGATGGCAAACAGAAGGAGGGTCTCTGGACAGAACACTCCAACCCTAGGAATGCTCAATTCACAAGCTTCGTGCATCACATCAGGTCTGGGAGAACTGTTTATCTTGAGTAAAACCTGACTGATAACAGCAGCACCTGATAAACACGGATCACAAGAATTTTTTGTAGAGCTTTTACTTCTATTTTCTTAAAATGTCTACTCATTCAGTTTTATTGGAAATTTGCAATATTTTCTCCAAGATCATAAAATAAAGCAGCATGTGAACAATGATGTATTAAGTGGTTTAAGGAAAAAACAACTCAATAAGAATACCTCTCTCATAACAAATACAAAATTTAATTATCTTTTTTATCACTACTTTCTAATATTTCTACCAGAGAACATGTATTGCTCATGTAATAAAAATAAAGAACATTCTTACCATGTTCAGCATTTCATCAAAAACTTCTTGAGAAATAAAATGATAATCAACTCGATCCCCTTCTCCAAAGTAAGGCGGTCTTGTGGTGTGACAGGCCCTGAAAACATAAAATAGATAACTTAGTCTATTTCTATTACCTTGAATTTCAAAATGGGAAAGGTTTCGGTATAAAGTATGTTTTAAACATTGAAATTGATCCATGAATCATAAATCATAAAGTGACATAATTGTGAAAACCCTGTGGTTTTGAAGAGTTGGACTACATTCAGCCGCTATTCTCTACAGGGATTATACAAATTTTAGATTATCAACACCAAATTTTTACTCATTGTTATTTATCATCTTCTGAACCACCTCTTCTGCTATCACATAATAATACTTTAAGAAGTATAACAATATTTATTACTCTTAATTTTCCACCCAAGTGTTTTCACGTTCTCTCTGATCTACAGGCATTTTCTTCGTATTCCCCTCCTCATTCCTCCTCCCAGCTGGCCCATTTGTCTTTCAGGACTCAGTTGAAGTGTCACCACGCCTAAAAAGCCTTTCTTGATCCCCTGTTGCTGGGTTATGCATCTCTCCTTTATACTCCCATAGCCTCAGTGCCTTCTGCCAATTGCATCCGAGTTCCTTGTTCAGGAACCCATCTCCTCTGCTGTTTGAGGGCAGAGACGAGCTCAATCCGAGGCGCTGCCAGTACTCATCAATACTGTGCATGAACCTCCTATGGGAATCTGTGATTCCAATGTTGACTGGAATTCTCAACTCAACCAGAGAGGCCTTCTCTGACCGCTGTCTGAAACAGCATTTCCAACCCACCCCCTACACCTGCAACTACTATCACCAAAACTGCCTTCTTTTATCTACATATTAGGTTTTTTCCTATCTTTTCCAGCAGGATATATGAGTCATGAGGAGAGGACCTTATCTTGTTTGTCTTGTTGGCCATTGCATTCCCACTACCAGGCCCATAGTAGGCATTCACTAATATTTGTAACATGAATGAATAAATGAAACACGTGCAGTGGATAACAGCCGCAATAAACTCCATTTTAATTTTATTTATTTATTTATTTTTCCCCCAAAGCCCTAGTAGATAGTTGTATGTCATAGCTGCACATCCTTCTAGTTGCTGTATGTGGGATGTCGCCTCAGCATGGCCAGAGAAGCGGTGCGTCGGTGCGCGCCTGGGATCTGAACCCGGGCCGCCAGCAGTGGAGCGCGCGCACTTAACTGCTAAGCCACGGGGCCGGCCCAATGAACTCCATTTTATAGACGACTATAAAAATGACTTGTCTGAGGCCACAGAGCAGGCCAGTGTCGGTCCCAGAACTAGATGATGGGGGTCCCAACTAGTCCAGGACTCTTGATCTCATACCATTCTGACTTCCCAGTGTTAAGTTCTGGGAATGCAAACTGATTTTTAGATCATCTTGCAGTTTTAAATTAGGAGATGAGAAGAGCTAGACATTTGACACGTTATTTCATTTATTCCTCATAAAAACCATGAGGTAGGTGTTATTGTTTTTATTTTACAGATGATGAGACCAAGGCCCAGCAATTAAGTGACGTGACTAAGTAGCAATGCCAGGATGACTCCCAAGTCAATTCCTTTTAATATCACACTCAGAGGGTAAAGTCGTCACCTTAAAAGCCTGTCCATTACAAAGTCAAAGACAAATTTTTATAATTCACTCCACTGTTCCTGTTCCATTATAATCAAGAATTAGCTATACTAGCAAATTCTAAGGTCTTAACATCACATTTAAATTGTATACTCAAGAAAGAGAGTATGTTCTAAGAGAAGACTGTCAAAACACCATGACATTTGCTTTGTTGTGTGAACACCCTGGCATTTCTTCACACCCCTTGGCAGCGACCTGAGACTTTCTGTCCACTGGTGTCCTTGACAGTCAGGACAGATAAATCAGTGACTTGGCATCCTGTGCTGCACACCCTTAATATAGCTTTTACACACAGTGTGGAATTTGCATTTCTCAACAAAGGGATTGAGCAGCAGGAATTTTTTCAGAATTTCTAAAAGGAAGACAAAGCGAAGAAGCAATTTGAAGCTTCTAGGCAGGTAAATAAAGAGATGGCTTCACTGATGTGGAGAAAGCTGATGACAGAACCTGTATCCTCTGCGGAACTTTCTATTAAGAAGGACTTACGATGACCTGAGGTTTTTTGAATCTGTCATCCAATTTTCACATATAGATACATTCGTTGTGTAGTATGCTGTCCAAATATGAAGATATTAAAAAGGAAATATTTCATAGTGAAAGCAATGTTTCACTAAACTAACTTAGAAAAAAATGATGCCAAATTGTAGACAAAGAAATTTGGGCCATCACCTTCAATACCCTTCCTCTCCCCTGTTTAAATATAATTTCAAATGTAATTTCAATTTCCATGAGTTTATTATTTACTAATTAATTTACTAGTTAAATCATGGTAAATTAGTTAAATCATAGTTTATAATGGGAGCCATATTCCCTGTTTCACTTAACAGACAAAAGAACTGAGTTAGAGATTAACCCCAGACTACAACATTGCTCCTAAAAGTCTCAGGGTGAGTTTAGACATTCTAAAGGCGAATTCACTGGCCAGCAGTCATCGAGGACCCTAACAAACCAAGCCCAAGGAGAGGAGCAGATGATCAAGAGAAAAAGGCGTCTGGAAGGCCAGGCCAATGAGAGAATGTTAAAATATCCAGGAAAACATAATAGGAAGAAAAGGTGTCTAACAAGGGCTAGCAGGTGGATGAGGAAGTAGAAATTTTTTCAGTTTGATTCAGAAGCATGCAGATTTAGAATTTCAATTCTGGACCAGATTGTCTCAGGAAATAATGACCCTGTTACTGCAAATATTTAGGCAGAGGCTTGGCTATGAGTGCATCTAAATTCAAGCACATTGTAGCACGCCATGTTGTTAGTAAGTGAACTCTTTCAATGGGTATCCACAAAGGCCAAGGTATTCGTAGGGCACTTGGTAGGCAAATTAAATTGATCTGAATGCCCAGTGCAAATATATGTCAATAAATTGCCAGACACGATTTAAGAGATCATGAACACAGAAGATTCCAGCACATACTGTGTCTGAGTATCAAACTTTAGGAAGCCACTACTCTGTTCACTTTCCAGTAACCACACACCACTTTCTAACTCCTGCCATCATCACCTGTCACCATTTCCTAACTGGTCTCCTTGTCTCTAGCCCTCCCTCCCCAAGCCCTTTCCCAAACTGCCGACAGATGCACTTCCTAAAATGCATCTGTGGTCATGACACGATTCTGCTTAGAAGCCCTTTATGATCAAACCCCTATCCATCTTTTTGGTCTTATCTTCTGCCATCTCCCTTCATCCTTCAAGCATAGTCATACTACAGAGTGTACTTCCAGTGAACAAATGTGCCTGTTGTTCTTTCTGCCTGGAATGCACCCCCCACTCAAGCCCCACACCCTACTCCTCTTTTACGTCTTCTATCACAGAGGCTCTTTACTTCCTCATCACAGCACCCACCAAACTATCTTGTTAGACAGCATTTACTTATCTAAATCTCATCCTAGATTATAAGCTGCCAGGAGGACAAGACCCGTGTCCGTCTGTTTTACCGTTTTATAACCGGCACACAGCACGTGGACAGTGCTCAATAAATGCTGATTGAATGAACAAATGAACCGTGCAACTAGTTTGTCACGTCTGTATAAACAGACATCAGATTACGCTGTATTTAGGTAACTGTACCTCATACCATCTCATTTAGCTAAATAGCTGTGGGCTTTTACTGCACTGTATTATAGAGCTAAAAGTAAAATATATTTAGTAGTCAACACCACGAAAAAGGTTATGAAAATAGAGATTGCTATAAAATAGAGATCTAAGGAAGAAGAATCAAGTTTTTCTTTCATGACCATTCAGATCACTTTTGGGACCTCCCATCTGGAAGATGAACAGGCATGCTGGTATTTTGTGTTTCCCTCATCATCCATCACTCTTTAAGAAGCCACTGATGTGTGTGGTAATATTGACGTGGAAATAAATAGAGAGACTTTGATGGCAGTAAACGCATATGTCCAGGCCATTTATAACTAATACAAGAAAAGAAAGAACATCCGACCTATTTCTAAAACCAAGAACAAATAGTAAAATCAAAACCTAAGACAAGAGCAAATCTCTCAGGCACACCAGTACTTGCTATACTATCAAGTTATATTTTTAATATTTATAGATCTGGATATGCAAGTGAGCATGTGAATATTTCATTGAATGCCTTGTTCTTGGGTCAATGCAACTGAAAAAAGAGGACAAAATACCAGGAAAAATGAAATAAATAGGAGGGAAACAAAAGATTCAAGCAAATGGCAGAGAAAGTGCCTTTGTAAATGCTTACATGTTTCATGATAAGACGGTATTCATGCCTTTTTTGCTTTTCATTTAATTAAAAATCAATAAAATTTATGTTGGATAAAGAATAAAATAAAATAGAATCTAAACAAGAGTAATGAGCTGCCCCTGAGGATGTGCTTTGGTTTTATCATTTGTTTTAATTAGAAAGTTGCTGCATATAATAGTAGTATTATCTTACTTTCTCAATGCATAGAATTACTAGCTACTATCCTTCTTGATGCGATGCTATGATCTTTGATCCATGCCCTGATGGAATTCTTAGAATGATTTGTCATTGAACAAGCCCTGAGTTCTGTCTCCATGAGGATGCCAATGAACGGTTGGACGATGCTACTGAGCCTGTCTGTGAGGGAGGTGGGCGAGTGAGTGGGCAGTTGGAAGTGGGGGAGTCAGGAGTATCTTTCCATTCACCACTAATACTATTCAGAGGAGAAAAATAGCAATGGTGGCAGTAACAGTGTAGATATGAAGCTAATTTTAGGATTTTGTTTTGCCATCTTGTGCCTCCACACTAATGACACACAACACCAATTATTGAAGATCTGAGTTCCCTACTAGATTACAAATTTCATTACGGAAAGGACCTCACCAATCTTGTTCTCACTGTATCTTCAGGGCCTAGCACATGGGAGGAACTCAATAAATACTTAGTGAAAGAATGGATGAGCAAATGAATGAATCCACCCTTCTCTCCATATATCCATCAGCAGAGGTTGGGGAAAATCGCCTATGCTTCTTATCACAGTAATTTCCCATTAAATGTTGCATGCAATGCCATTAATTCATTCATCCACTCACTCACTCAATCAGTTATTCATTTAACAAATATTTTTGATGCACGTATTAAGTGCCTGGCCCTGTGCAGGGCACTGAGAACTCAACGGTGAGCAAAGCTGACATTAGTTCTTTCCCTCACTGGGCATACAGACGAGCAGGGAAAACAGGCCTTAAACAAACAATCACGAGCCTAACGGATAAGCATTCTACTAGGGGAAATACAGGACTTAATGAAAATGAATAATTAGGAGGCTTATCCAGGTGAGAATGCAGCATCAGACTGGATCAGAATCTTAACTCTGATGATCACATCTGACCCTACGTGCCTCAGCAGTATATACCACAACAAATATGAAGGACCAGGCCACCAACCATTTGCAACATAATTGGTACCAAGATGTGAAAGGAATTCTAACCAGAGAAAGCCTTGATTCTCCCAAGTCACTTTGGTTTGCTAAAAGGTTCCACGTTTACATATTAGCACAACAGTCAGGATACACTCTTTTGCCCTAGTTTGACCTTCCATTCCTTGTGTTCCACTTATCTTTTAAAACAGATTCAGTACTCCTATATGAACATAATGGCCCTCCATATTTTTTATTTTAATATTAAGTTTTAATTTAGTTTTGTTACTTCAGGGTTTTTAAAATATATTAATGAATAAATTATTCTATAGTATTTATATCCTAGAGTTGTTCAAATGAAGGATGTAATTTTAGATATCTAAATAAATGGACCTATTTAAAATAGTATTTACATTGTTTGAACACGTGTAGCTTAAGGGAAGGAATTTTTCTGTAATAGCATTAGAAAATAATTTGCATTTATTTTTCTTGCTGTCCTATGCATCTTTGCAGCCACATCCTCAGCTCACTAACAACCACCACTAATCTGAAAGAGATTTCTTTGCCATACATAAAAAATACAAGAGGAAACCAGTTCAAAAGATTTCAGTGATAATTTGAAATCTGATTCCCAGAAACCTTTAAAAAGTCTGTACATCCAGCCGAAGAATTTTTTGGATGGTTCTAGTTTTTCGGATATTTTCCTCTATTTTAACTGGGTCATTAGGGAATCATGCAGCAAAATATTCGCTCCAGTAAACTGAAAGTGTATTGAATGCTAACCTGGGGACAAGGGAAGGAACACTTTTGCTGCCCCTTTCCATTCTCCTCCTTTTCCTTCCTCCTGAAATATGCCTTAAAAAAGGCAGACCTGTGTGGAGACAAAGCTGAGGTGCTGTCAGTGTGAGTGCCAGCAGAGACTAGGAGAGGCTGTCACCGGTGCACAGACTCACCCATGACACATCACAACATTGTGATTCATGCTGTCACACCGCACGGCAACAGAATGAGCCTGCGTTCCCACGCCACTCTGCTTAATGAGAAACGTGCATTTTCAAACCATGGAGGATGATCTTGGCTGGCGATGAATTAAGTTAAACATTTCGAGAATTAAAGTAAAAAATATATATGTTACACAGTGTATATCACGGTGTAACAAACAGCAAAGAAGCTGATAAGCTTTCTATGGAAAAAGTGTATAATGGCATGGATGAATCATGTTTCTGTTCTTGTTTTTTGAGGGGGGTCACTGCCATATGTTTACTGTCTGCTTCACAAAAGACAAAATATTTTGTTTCTTCTTGCTATTTGTTAAGTTCTTCTATTATTAGAAGTATACTTAGCAATCATCTCTACCACATCAGTTAGAATGACATGAGAATCAAGATTCCTAGTCATTCCAAGACCAGGTAATCACACTTATCCAATACTATCAATAATGCACCTTCAAAGACTACAACCCTCATGGTGCGCTATCCTTACCAAGAGGTAATTTTTACCAAACATCCACTTTTAGCTCAGCCATAAAATGTAACTTAAATATTAATTTGTTTAACTTGCTTAAAATTAATAATCAAAATTAGCAATATCCAAGATTTTACAGCCTTACCAGCCAATAAGCAAACTTACCCGTATCTGAAGTAACTGTTAAACTGTCTGCAGAGGCGGTGAGCGAGTTCTCGTTTCCCACAAGCCTGAGGACCAGCTAATATCAACATGGGGTAAGGGGCATCCAGACTAGGAAGAGTGCTGTAACACAGGGCAGAGCAGAGATGGCCTATTCTAGTCACACATACAGCATGTTAACCGCATCCAGTGTGCAAAGTGTCTGTGTCATAATCACAATTAATTCAGTAGACAAGCACTTGCTATACGTAGACACTGTATAGAAGGGAAGTCCTACCTTCCACAAGCAAGTTGATTATAATATGCCATAAATAACATTCAAAGCATAAACAAAATCCAAATACATGTAAATTTACTTTAACTACATTTTTAAAAGGAAAAGTATGGTAAGATATATCAGTTCTTGGTTGATAAAGTAGTCCCCTAAGAACTTCAAAATGAAAGAAATAAGATTGCCCTGTGAAAGTTAAACTTTAACATCCATACCTATTAAATTAGAACACAGATATGCAAAGAAAATGGTAATAACTAAAATTTACCTGAGCAATTACTATGTGCCAGGCACTATTCTAAGAATCTTACATGCATTACCCCATTTAATTACCACAGGAAGCTAATGAAAACGTTTCTATCATTATCCCCATTTAACACATGAAGAAACTGAAGTCCAGAGAGGTTAATTAACTTGCTCAAAATAATAGCTAATAAGAAAGAGCTGATATATAAATCTAGGCATGGCTTCCGGGCCCGAAAGACTGAACTAAAGAATGAATTTATTAATAAAATGTCCTGCAACATGCTGAGCTGAAGTGTTTGGACTCCACTCTTGACACAAATTACAGAAATATGTAATAAAATATAATATCTCTTCAAAACACATGGCTGAGGTGTAGATTCTATGAAGAATGGGGATGGTGGCAGCATAATTTTTCAATCTCTCTGAATGCCCACATAAAAACAGAAAAACTTGAGAGCAAAAGCCCATGGTAAGTATGTACAACAAAACCAGATGAAAAGGTATCTTCATGAACCACAAACCCACAAGACTATCACAGTGCTGGAATTTGTGTAGGAGGAAGCAATGGGGAAGCAAATGACAGACCTGAGAATAAGTGAACCCCAAAACAGCCAATGGGTATCCCATGGAAAGCAGGCAGGCTGAACCTGTACATGTACAAAAACTTGTACGTGAATGTTCATGGAAGTTGTATCTGTAATAGCCAAAAACTGGAATCAGCACAGATGTCCTTCAAAAGATGAATGGTTAAACTAATTGTGGTGCATCCATATCGAGGGATACCACTCAGCCATAAAAAGGAATGAACTAGTAATACACCCAACAACTTGGATGAATCTCTGGGGAATGAAGCTAAAAAGAAAAAGGCCAAACCCAAACAGTTATATACTATATGATTCCATCACATTCTTGAAATGATAACATTATAGAGATGGGGAACAGATCATTGGTTGCCAGGGGTTAGGGAAGATGAGAAGGAGGGAGGTGACTGTGGCTAAAAAGTTGGAAGCACAGGGATCCTTGTGACAAAACTCTTCTGTATCTTGACTGTAGTGGTTCTCATATGAAACTACATGTGTGATAAAATGGCATAGAACTAAATGCACACACGAGTACATGCAAAACTGGTGAAATCTGATACAGCTGGTGGATTCTATCAATGTCAATGTCCTGGTTTTGATATTCTACTATAGCTATACAAGATATTACCATTGGGGGAAAGTTATATATAGAATTTCTTCATTACACCTGCTGTTCAATTCACATTACACCTGCATGTGAATCTAAAATTATCTCAAAACAAACTTTTTTAAAAGATTAAAAACAAAAATATTTGAGAGCAAGTGACAAATATTGAAGATAGGCAAAGGAGATCTTCTTCCTGAAGAAGAAAACCAAAGCAAAGAAACAGAACAAATATTAAAGAGTGTAATTCAAGAAAACTTTCCTGAAATAAAAAAATAAAACAAAACTATACATTGAAAGAGCACGGAGCATACCCGAGACTATTAGCCCAGAATAACTAATATCAAGACATAGTCTAGTAAAATTACTGGACTTTAAAGAAAAAAAAATTGTTCAGCTAGACAAAGAGAACACATGACTTATAACAAAGAAAGGCAAAGAAAATTAAATGGTTATCAGATTTTTGACAGCAATGTTTTGCACCAAAAGAAAATGGAGTAACCTCTCTATTATACTTAGGGAAAAGAGTGTGAGCCCTGGAATTTATACATACCAAAAATGACTTTCAAGTATAAAGGGCAGAGAATATTATCAACAAGCAAGAGTTCAAGGGATATTGATCCCATAGCCCTTCCTAAGGAATCTACTAGAGAACAAGGTTCATACAACCAAAGTGACTCATGAGACACCAATAGAAGGGCTGGAAGGGAGCAATAAATATGCAGTTATCCATAGAACCAAGACTAAGTGACAGCCAAGGAGAAAGTGTTGTGTGTGATGGATATATGTTCTGACAATATAAACATAGTACACTACTTTTAAAATAGGGTGATTGACACTTACATGAAATATATACAATAGGCAAATTCATAGAGACAGAAAGTAGATTAGAAGATACCAGGGACTGGGAGTAGCAGGGAATGAGGAATTATTGCTTAATGGTTGCAGAGTTTCTGTTTGGGGTGACGAAAAAGTTTTGGAAATAGATGGTGGTGATGGTTGCACAACATTGTGAATATAATTAATGCCACTGAACTACATATTTTAAAATGGTTAAAATGGCAAATTTTATGTTATATATATTTTACCACAACAAAAAAGAGACACGTTAATGGGAAAAGCATAGGCAGAACATGTTTTTAATGATTTCAGTAATCATGTTGGTGTTAGTATTAGTATTGGTATTCTAATACCATTGTGTAATATGGGATTTTAAAAAAGACTAATTATGGAATATTCTAATCCATCTTCCTCTGTGTCCTTGGTGTGGGAGAAAAGGAAATACAGATGTAATAGAGAGGAGGTTAAATAAAAGCTCAACTGTGTTCCTGAAACTGAATTGTAAAGTATCAATAAAAATTCAGAAGGTATTTTATCATCTATCTATAGATTGATACAGATAGATCTATCTAGATACGGATTAGACACAAACAGACTGAATAGATGAAGATAGATAGGTACAAACAGACAGGATAGATATAATAGATGGAAGGAAGGAAAGAAGGAAGGAAGTGGGGGGAGGGAGGGAGGGAGGAAGGAAGGAAGGAAGGAGGGGAGGGAGGGAGGGAGGAAGGAAGGAAGGAAGGAGGGGAGGGAGGGAGGGAGGAAGGAAGGAAGGAAGGAGGGGAGGGAGGGAGGGAGGAGGGAAATATATTCCCAGCTCTGTCCACTAAAAGGCCTAGAAATGATGACCAACCCAGTAGTAATGATTATCACTAGCACCCAGATTGTGATTGAGAAATACCATTTCTCACTAAACAAACCAGGGCTTCTTAGTGAAATGGCTGCTTCCAGAGTTTGGATAGGACTTGTACAAGACGAGGCTGGAGAACCTTGTCATACCAGAGAACAAGAAAGCTATCAATGACTACTAGGCCAGAGTCAAGGGTCTGCTGTGTCACTTTAATATTGTATCCTCACCCCAATCATACCAAGAGAGGGGGCAGGGATTCCCCAATAATGTAAAAGTCCCAAGGCCAAGACTCAGGGTTCCTCTCCTGGAACCTGACTTCTAGGACTGCCCGAGAGCTGTGTCCTGGCGCAGAGTGGAAAGGGCAATGGCAGACCAGCTCCCGCCTCCACGAGTTTTTCACTATGAACGCTGCTCCATCTGGAGCATTCAGGGCTGCACGGCTATTTGTTCTTGTCTGCCCGACAGCCAGAAATGATAAAGAAACACATGTTTATGAGACTGCTGTAAATTTCTTTGATACATATTTTTATATAAATGCACTCTAAAGCATGAAACAACTAGCAATCTCAAAAACCAGAAAAGAAATACAATGAGGACATAAATGCCCTTCTTTTAAATCAAATGTGCTTTTCCAGATGTATGCAAATAAATGGTAAATCATTTCATCTAGAGGGCTACCATAAATATATAAAACTGTCAATGTCTATATTATTAAGTTACACATAAAAAAATCATGTCCTACATGCAAAATAAAACATTTTGCTCTCTGTGGGGAACCATCCACGTGAAGCTCAGGAGCAAATACCACATGAAGAAAAGAAGCCATCTATAACCAAGAGATTCTACAAGCATTTTTAAAATGTCTTTGGGTATTGATAGAACTTCTGCATTATACTTATAGCATAAATGGCCATCTGCTCCAACAGATTGTTTAAAAAGAAATGGAGAAACCGTGGTAAATCTGGCTTCGAACTTGGAGGTGAGAGACTCTATTCATGTGTTCAACCAAGCTGGGCGACTTCTCCCTGCTGGGCTGACTGCAGCTCAGTGCAATCACTAGAAAGGCTATTTCAGGTTCCCTTAGGCTAGCTGGGCTTCCTTCTAGAAACTCTCTAATAATCTGCATTCATGGGATGCTCTTTGGCAGGACTAGCTAGCATTCACTCGCAGCTAAGGAAAAATTTACAAGGGATAGAAATCATCATAATTCTCTGTTAATGAGGCTAAAGTCTGTGGTTCTATCCTACAGCAGAAAAGTTGACAAACTTTCTCTTTTTTTATTTCACTGTCCTATGTCACAGGCTAGCCACCATTTGAAGGGCCAGATGAAAGAGGGAAGATGAATCCAGTCGTCACCTACACTTGGGAAAACCCAATGAGTGAGCCCCATATTCAAGCATGTGATGAAAACACTATAAATGAGACAACACATCCTATCAAATAAAGACCCGACCCCTTCCCTCAGAGCAGGTGAGAAAGGAATGGGTCACAAAATAGAGGGCTAGGGAACTTGAGGAGGTTGTCCTGTGCTTGCCGCCCTGAGTTCTATCTACCCTGCGGACCCCTAATGAATACCTGTCAAAGATCCTCTGTGGCTGCATCACGCTGTTGACAACATGCGTCAGGTGATCTTGGGCTGCGACCACTTCCGGCGGAGGGTCATATTTATTCACTGCCGCAACCTTTTCCAGAATTAGAAATGCAAAAGGAAAACAAATCTCATTTCTAAAAAGAAAACAAGGCTTAGACTCTCTTCAATAAAATATTCTACACACACAATCAGTATAGAAATAATTTAACACATGCTCAAGAATCTTTTTCTTCAGTCTTATGTCTACTCTAACTTTCCTAAAGCCTAAATAATGATAATTATCTTAAAATATTGAACTGGACCCCACTGGTCCCCTACTTCTTTATATTCCCTATAAAGGGAATTTGGGAGGGAGGGAAAAAGCAAAAACAAAAACAAAACCTCTAAAGTCCAAGTTTACTTTTAACATAGTAAAAATTCCAACTTTTAGTATGAGAAGAAGGAATAAAATTCACAGTTCTAGATTCCAGGTAGTTGACACTGTAGAATTATTTTCTCATGCCATCTCACCAGGAACTATCTGATTATCTCAAATTCTACCAAAACCTCCTCCTCTTTTAGCATAACTGTCTCTGTTCAAAGATATGGGCCTTTTCCACATAACATACAGTTCTCTATCCCCTGTCTTCGTCATCCCTCTAACTACATTATCCTCACTACCACACCTTTACTTAATATATGGTTTTAAATTTATTCCTTTCATAAAATGTTAAAGGGGAACAGAAATCTAATAAGTGCCTTTGCGTGCGAGAATAATAACAGACTGGCATCTGTAACTATTTTTAACCAAGATTTCAAAAAGGCATTTATGAAATGGAACAGCTGCCTCTCTACATATTTATACCTGTTTTCCTTCCCATTTCAAATTTGCATCCAGTGTAAGAAATCCCTCATTAGTGGAGATTTCAGCTGTCCCCGGTCACTAAAGGAAGACAAAGTAGCTACCACAGGTATGGTGGGGGAGGCAGGTGCTAGCATTCAAGGTCTGGTTACTCTGGAAATGTGTGTCCAGAGGAATCATTCTCTTAAAGAGCAGAATTAAGAATTTAAATTATCAGAGTAGTGATTTATTTGAGTACCTTTCGATTATATGGTAGAATGACATTATATTTCATTACACAAATGAATTTTTAGAGTAACGCAGATAGAATCACACACCCTCCAAATATGATAGTTATTCAAGTTAGACTGCCATGATGCTGCCGGCCTACGTAAATGGAGGACTGCTTCTGTTCCCACTGCCCATCTTTTCCCTGTACCAATAGTACGGCTTTTGCTACATGTGTGTTGACACTCAGCTTTGCAGAGGGTTCAACAGACAGATCCCAGGACAAGGGAACACTCCCTAAATAATTAATTTACATATTGTTATGCATGTCATTTATTGATTATATTGGTCCTGCAGCAGGCAGCATGAGCTCTTGAGCATATTAACTCATAAACACATGAAATGATATGATTACATACCTTTTCTTCCACTTGAATCTTCTTCTGATCTAATTCTGTTAATCGTAGTAGCATAAAAATTACGAAGAACCAATATTCAGATTTTTCCTATTCAAAATATCAAGAGGACTATTCAATTGCCTTTCTTTTCCCAACTTAACAAGCACCAGCGCTCTACTTCCATGAGCGTAGGTCTTCCCCCTACTACTCCTGTCATTCCCACACACACCCCCTCATAGGTCGCTACCTTTTCACGCTTACCAGTCCCCTTATACTAACAACTCAAATGCAGACTGTGCCTTGTAACTTATAAAGTTCTTCACATGTGTGATCTTGTTAATCTCCCTGGGAGATAAGCAGGACAGATATGATTAACATCATTTCTCAAGAGAAAAACAACTAAGTCTCAGAGAGGTGAAGCATTTCATCTAAGATGCCACGGCCCGTGCTTCAAACCCTATCTTCTAACTCCAACGAGTTTCACTCTTGCAAATAATGAAACATTATTTATTATTACTTTGTCATTATTTATTTCTTATTACTTTGTATTATTTTGTATCACTCATTATGAATTTGTTTTACAATAATAAAATAATATTCACTTACAGAATAAATTCTTTATTACTCCCAACCATCTGCTGTGTTAGAATCATCTGGGTTTTAGAAATATAATTAAAGTCTTTTGTATTAGGAAGCTACATCTCTTTGGAGAGAAAGATATTAGTGGATGATACATTTTATAGATGAGAATGCACATGAAATGAAAATACAAAGGTGTCTTTTTTGTATTTCAATGTGTAAATGGGGGTGTGTGTATATAAATGAGTTAACATGTGTGAAAGGGTTTGTGCTGTTTATTTATGCATACGCTCAAACACCCTCATGGATCTGAAATGGGAGGTGACACCCACTTTAAGCCCTGCTCCTTTCTTTCCCAGAGGTGCTTTTAAATTACTTGCCACTATTCTCATACAAAGGATTGTTTTTATTTTAAATCTTATTTTTAATTTCTGATTTTGGTTTTTCGCCTGTCCAGACGTGTTCATCAAGACACCTGCAAAAAGAACGGTACTCAGAGATACATACAAATTCAAGAGTCTATGGAAAGGCAAGTGAAGGGTAGACATAGAAAAGTGGAATGAAGGACAAATGGACAAAGAGGGAAGGACAGAGGCCAGGAAGAAAGGATCTATCAATGGAAGGAAAGAGAGAGGCTTGAAAAAGTCATGGATCTTTGAATCCCAAGGTGAAGAATCTGTAAGAAATATATTATTTTTTTCTATAATCATTTTACAACAATATCAATTTCACAGCTATATCCAGACAAATTACATTAGGTGTCTAATTCTGGATTTTCTTTCCCCTGTTAGAAAATAGGAACCATATTCTGTCTACACCTCTGGCATCGTGCATTCTGTAATGTAAAAGGACATTGCTCCCCAATCTCGATAGTTCCCGCCTGTAATCTTTATTACCACCTGGGATGAGTCACAAATGACCACACAGAGTAGGTAACCTCAGGCTTTTACTGTCACTGATAGTGGTGCATAGGGGCTACTCTGCTTACTGTTCTGTTTCATAAGAGAGAGAGAATGAAGATAAACACACTGTCTTCACATTCCTGATGTTCTTTATCAAAAGCATTTCTTGAAGAACAAGAATTCCAAGAAAGTCCTCATCCCCCTCCCCCTGATATAAATGATCTCTCACCTGAATTGGATTTCTTAAAAGATTGAGAACTCGAAGGAGAGGTAGATTTTCAATGTATTCTATTTCACCCAGCTCAGCAATCTGTTCAATCAGAGAAACAAAATATCACCAATAGACTAAATGCACAAAGATAATAGAAAACAATATGAGAGGAGCTACTTTGGATCCTTTAAATTCAACTTATTTCAAAAATTGCTCTGTTCAATATCCAGCTTTTTAATGAGAATTCCACAAAGCTATGCATAACAAGGGAATTATTGTATTCCCCTTCAGTAAATGTGAACACACACAGCCACATTTTCTTTTTTTCCCCTCTGGCTAGAGAATGGTGAGGTATTCCTCTTCTCAGCCATGTTTAAGACAGAAATAAAATGGTATTTACAATCACAGAAACAGTACCAAAAATGCATGCCAGGGCTAGCTGGTTCTCTCCACCGCTAATCCTTCCCAGCCCTCCAGTTCCCCAGTCTCCCTCCCCAACACTGCTTCTGCTGGCCTGGTTATTTGGGACTGAGGAAGCCTTCTTACTGCATTGTACATGTTTAGCTCTATCATTTTTTCCATAAGAAATAAATATTTTGGGGGCCGGCCCGGTGGCATAGCTGTTAAGTGTGCACACTCCACTGTGGCAGCCCGGGGTTCAGATCCTTGGCGCGCACTGATGCACTGCTTGTCAGGCCATGCTGTGGCGGCATCCTATATAAAGTGGAGGAAGATGGGCACAGATGTTAGCCCAGGGCCAGTCTTCCTCAGCAAAAAGAGGAGGATTGGCATCGGACGTTAGCTCAGGGCTAGTCTTCCTCACAAAAAAAAGAAAGAAAGAAAGAATTATTTTAAGGAAAGATATAAATGGAAAATTATATGATGTATTTCTTGATGGTGGTGTTACATGGGTGTTTACCTTAAAATTTTCTGTTAAACTGTAAATTTACGTTTTATACTCTTTTCTGAGTAGGTTGTTTCACAACTTTGACTTCGTAGGGAGGGCAATTTAGTTGACTCTTTTCTTGCCATTTCCTTCTAGGCCATGTTCTCCAAGCCTCACCATCAGACCTAAAGGGGCCTGTTAAGGCTTTTTCTTAAGATAGATAGATAGATAGACAGACAGACAGACAGATATATTGATTTGTGAAATAACAACACTAAGATTCAGAGAAGTAAAATAGCATTCTCTAAGTAACTCCTAGACCAATATCTTGCTTCTAGAAGAAAGGACTGAGGTTATAATAGAGTTAACATTTTGGGGATAAGTTTTAAATGCTAGAAATGACATCGAATCTAACAAGGACTATAGAGTAGAGAGTGACAAAGGTCCCCAAATCACCAGCTGATGGTAAACATTTGCAAAAGAACTTAAAAGAGACGTGCAAATGATCATGTGAAAGTACAGCAGTGTTTCAACAGCTAAAACCAAGTAAACAATACTGATGAAAGTGCTACCATTAAACAATCTTCCTAACATCAAATTAATCATACGAGAAGCAACAGCTATGCTATGTTTCTTTCAAATGACAAATTTTCCATCCCTAATACATAGTATTCTCAGCAGTACTGGAGAAATCTCTGAGGAAATCTTTGGATGGCTCAAAGAATATTTCCAAGTACTGTTGGTTGCTCCCCAACCTGCCCAGTGGGGAGCCAGGGAATTATGTTATTGTTATAGACCCAATCGTTGCCAAAGGATCCCCCCTTTGGGACACGCAGCCACTTTTTTTTAATGGGGTCTCTTTAACATTTAAAAATTAGAAACTCCTGGGGCCAGCCTGGTGGGGTAGTGGTTAAGTTTGCATGTTCCACTTCAGCAGCCCAGGGTTCGCAGGTTTGGATCCCCGGCGTGGACCTACATACTGCTCATCAGGCCATGCTGTGGCGGTGTCCCATATACAAAAAAATAGAGGAAGACTGGCACAGATGTTAGCTCAGGGACAATCTTCCTCAAGCAAAAAGAGGAAGATTGGCAATGGATGTTAGCTCAGGGCCAATCTTCCTCACCAGAAAAAATATATATATATGTAAACTCCTTTCTTCACTTAATGTGCCCCTTTTTCCTTAAACTATTTCAGAAGTAATTTGAAAAGTCTCTTGAAATTGAAGAGAACAATATACTATTTGTGAAGTCTTTCTACACCAGTGTTATCCAATACAGTAGTTATTAGCCACGTGTGGCTACTTATCACTTGCAATATGGCTAGGATGAATTGAGATGTACCATAATGTAAAATACACACCAGATGTCAACAACTTAGTATGAAGCATTGGAATATAAATACCTCATCAATAATTTTTATGTAGATTACATGTTAAAAATGATAATATTTTGGATGTTTTGGGCTAAATAAAATATTATTAAAATTAATTTCACCTGTTTCTTTTTACTTTTTATTGCAGTTACTAGAAAATTTAAAAAAGCATACGTGGTTCACATTTATGGCTCACATTTCTTTTTTTTTATTTATTTATTAATTTTTCACCCCAAAGCCCCAGTAGATAGTTGTATGTCATAGCTGCACATCCTTCTAGTTGCTGTATGTGGGACGCGGCCTCAGCATGGCCGGAGAATCGGTGCGTGGGTGTGCACCTGGGATCGGAACACGGGCAGCCAGCAGCAGAGCACGCGCACTTAACTGTTAAGCCACGGGGCCGGCCCTCACATTATATTTCTATGAGAAAGCACTCTTCTAGAGCGTTACACTGTACACTTTTCTGAAGGGAGGGCCATTAACATTTCATTTACTATATTATCCTGCAGGGTTAAGAACACTGACTCTGGAGGCAAACCATTCTATATTTGAATTCTGGCTCTGCTATTTGCTCGATATATAACTTCGGGCAAGTTACTTAACCTCTCTGTGCCCCAGTTTCTTCATCTGTAAAACAGCATAATAATAGGGTTATAATGAGGATTAAATGAGATGATATGGGTAAAGTGCTTAGAACAGTGCCTTGTGCATAAGTACTCATAAATATCTCTGTGTTATTTTATGACTATAAGTATTATTATTATTACAATTATTCCTTTTCCTGATATAAGTATTATTATTATTATTACCATTACTCCTTTTCCTGAATCCTGAGATGCATTGAGTTGAGATTTATTGAGTACATTCCACCTTTCCAACACCCCCTGTATAATGTGAATACCATTTTAATGGCAATTTCATGAAATACACTAAAACCATACGAAACAGAGGTTGTGCTGACTTCATAAAACATGTGGCACAGTGAACAAAAGCCATCCATTAGAATTAACTTTAGCAGTTGACGAAACAACTTAATTTACAAATCAAGTGAAAATGAGGATGAACAGTTTTGTCTGTGATTAAAAATCTACTTGTTCCCAGACCTAACAACTGCCTTTTCTTGATTTTTAGAAATCTAACAGATGATAGCAGTTCATGGGAGAAAGAGTCATCAGACACAATTGATAAGCACCATCACAGCTGCAAAAAGACACGTCTCCACAGCACATCTCACCCCGGGTGGGACCAAGGTCTCTTTCACTGTCAGCCAGAATTTTTCATTTTCAAGAAGAAATAAACATTCAACTTCCTTTGAAATCTTCCCAAAAATATGATTAAGGTACTCAATAAGAGTAAAATCACTTTGTAGACCTTATTGCATAAGAAGTCAGACATACCACGACTACAAGCACAAATGCTTTACTAGAAATAAAGTGTAATTAAGAGTAAAAGCCAATTTATATAATTTGTGAAATAAAGTGTACATTAAGCCAGATATGGAAATGTGAATAAGTCCAATCCCCAACTCATACAGATTGGGAACATACATTGTTGTTACCAATAGGATAAAAGAATTCCTGTACCTCTTCTCTTTAATGGATGACATGAGCAACACCAGCCTGAGGCTATTCCCAACTTCTCTGCTCTGACATTTCAGACATTCCTAATGCCATCTTTCTCCACAAAATTTCACATGAACACATCTACTTCAAAAGTCATATGCACTTGGTTGTAGTTTAAATCTTTAAAACAATGTAATTAAGAATCATAAAATTTTCAAAAATTAAGAATTGTAAGTATTTGTTAAAAAAAAAAAAAAAACAGCCCTTCTGCAACTACTGCTCCAGGAGGTTTTCTAGAATAACACTTCTAAGTTGGCATTTAATGTGACAGCCCTTGAGAAACCAATAAAGGGTCCTGATATGTCCTTTGGTGTGGACACTGAGACCAAGACATATAAAGCATGACATTACCTTATTATCTTCTAGGTTGATCACTTCCAAGAAGTCATGATTCTCTAAGCCTTGGAGGCTCCTGATCTGATTGTGGGACAGATCCACGATCTGTAGCGCTTTTAGGTCCTCCAAACCTGTGATCTTCTCAATCTGGTTATTGCTCTAAAATTGATAAAATACACTTAATGTCTTAAAGGCCTCTAGTAGGAAAAAGCACAATGACAAGCTTTTATTCTAGATATTGCCCCATATCTCTTAAAATCAGTAAGCCATTCTTGTTTCCCATCCTCCCATTTTCATCACTCACCTCCTTAAACATATATACACACTCCCCAGAAAGAAATTCCAGTTTTTCAGCTGGAAGATTCAGAATGTAATATTTTCACTAAAGTTAAAGCAAAATGAATGTTCAAATCAGCAGGACAGACAAAAGCTAGGAGTATAAGCTTTTAACATTGCTTACCTAAAGCCTAATGACCACATAACTCCATGTTTATCTTTAGAAATAAAAATTTAATGCAATTCTTTCATCACCATCACAATAAACCACTTGAATATTGTAACTCCCACATATACTTTGTTTTCAAAAACATTCTAATCACTTCATATCACGAGGGCTGTGGTAGTGTGATACAGGACTCCACTTATTCATGCTCTTGTGCAATTCCCTCCTCTTGAATCTAGGCTGGACCTACAACTTGCCTTAACCAAAGAATATGGCAGAAGTGTCCCAGTTCCAAGTCTAAGAATTAAGAAGGCCTGGCAGCTTCTCCTCTTGTGTCTTGGAATCCTGAGCTGCCATGTAAGAACTCTAGCTACTCTGTTGGACAGAATTTGTGGAGAGGTCACATGGAAAAGGACAGGTCACATGGAGAGGGACCTCGAGTCTAAATAGAGAGGAAAAACCCAGCCATTCCAGCAAATCTGCCAGCTGAATGAGGCAAGACTAGCAGAAGAATCACCCAACTGAACCCAGTTCAGAGTGCAGAACTGTTAGCTAATAAAATGGTAGCTAATAAAATTTCTTCACGCCACTACACTTGCTATTCAACAATAGATAACCAAACTAAGTTCTTCAATATTCACACATAAGCATCTTCTCAGACAATGACCATAAAACAAAGAAAGATTTAAGACTCAAATGTTGTCCTCTTTCCCAGCCCCCATGTACCCATAACAACAAATTATAGTGACAACAGTAATCTGTATTTTCTTGTATATTTTCCAACATACTCATAATTCCTCAGGTTCCTTAGCCTTGAGGTATAAGAATACATCACGGTAAAATGAAACTTTAAGTTGAAACTCATAATAAAGAGAATTTTGAGGTTTCAATCAATGCCATGTTATGCCCATCTTTAAATTTTTAAAACTTTTGAAAAGAACTTAAGAACTTAAAAAATTAAATTATAGTATTGTCTTCCATCTACAATACTTTTCCTGGTACATGTTTCCTGGTACATTTAATAGCAAGAGCTACTTTCATAAGATTTCATTTCAATAATGAGCAAGATTTGCATTCATTAGTTAATCCTATGGCTCTTTAAAATATATTAATAAAATGTTGATCATCTATGAAGCTGGGTGATAGCACATGGGGGCTCATTAAATTATTCCTTTTATTTTTATATATGTTTGGAAAATTCCACAATAAGAACGAAAAAATACTCATAACCTCATTTGCCTAAGTCAAATTTCCCACTATTCAGAGTTCAAAAAAGTTCTAGAAAGTATAACAGAAAAGGAAAAGGAAAAAACTACACTAAACATATTATCCATATTAATTTAACTTATTGAGAAAAGACCACAGTATCCTATTTAAAATATGCCCACATATCAAATTTATACAAAATACACTTTCCAAAGAACTTTGAAGTGCTGTAGATGTGGAAGATAGACTAATAATTCTTCACAGCATCTCTGATGGCTTTCACAGTAGTAGATGCATAAAAGTAGAGTGAGGCATAGAAAAGTTTAATTAGCTGTCCTATGGTCATAAAAGAAAGCAGAACTGAGAAATGTTCTGAGTTGAAAGTCATCTATTCAAACCCTTTATCCAATGCTGAAAAATTGATACATCATTCCTCAAAGTGGACATCCAGTTTCTGCATGAACAGTTCTTGCTTGTTTTATCATGATTAGCAGGGGAAAGGGGACCTTTAGAGAGAAGCTATTTTTTTTAAATAAATGAAATGAGAAATAGTCTTAATCTCCCCAATTTGGGAGGGAAAAAACAAGTGGCTCTTACCAAGACAAAATAAATTTTAAAGTTTGGAATGCATTTTCCTTACTTGCTAAGGGAGGTGATTGACAGAATAGCCCATAAGTGAACCACATTTTCCCCTTACATTTATTGTAAAAGTTGATGGTAGAGAATTGACAATTGGTTTGTATAGTGAATTGTTCTTTGTTCTCTAAATTGTAAAATGAATTATTTTCAATAGTAAAGCAATTGGTTTTGATTCCATGAATTAAAAAATGAAAGCATTAAAAACTATTGAAACAAATGTGTACCATTTTATTTTACATATTTTATTAACATTTGGAAAAGACACCCTTACTATTCTCAAAAACGTTAAGGAAAATGAATGATGGCATAGTCTGTATTTTCTAGTTCATCTTGGGTGAGGGAGGCAGGGATTGGGAACAATCCACCTAACCTATTTGTAGAAAAAAATGTCTTTTATGCTTTTTCTAAAAGGTACTTGAGATGGAACTGTCAACACAGATGACTTATTTAGTTACTGAAACGCACTCTTAGGATAAAAGTGCTATGCATTCTTATTCTTAATAATGAGTTCAATTCTCATTCCCTTAAGCACACTCCATATCTCTTTCCACATATCATGCTCCACTTAAAGTTAATGGGAATGCCAATACAAAAAGATATGTAAAGAAAAGGATAAGGTTCTAACCAGCTACAGATTGAATAGTACATACTGCCAATAATTCTTCAAGTTATCATAATTTTAAAATGTGACTTTCTTTCATAATTTCAAAATCTGCAATCTAACTTTTCAAATTCATTTCATTTATGCTTTGCTAAGATGCCTACATGGGCAGAAAACATGAAACCCTAGGGAAATTACTAAACCTTTCCTCGCCTTAGTTTCATCCTCTGTACTGGGAAGTACTTTACTGTCACCTAACTCACTGTACAGAGTAAAGGGTCTTGAAAAAGTACTTCAAGCTCCAAGCTCAGGGAAAGAAAAATTAACACACAGCCAACCTTCAGCTACCTGTGGTTAAATAAGATTGGAATAGTATACCGTACATGTCAAACATCTGCAGATAACCCAAGACTTCATTTCAAACAACAGTTCAACACTCTCCGGTGGGATAATTCATGTAAGAAATTAACAAGCAACCAGCCTCATGGCTTAAAATCCTCCCTGTCCACCTTGTGACTGATATACAGAGATATAACAAAGAACAGCAAAGCCACCCAAGGGTAAGAAGTAGGAGAGAGGAGGAAAGGAAGAAGAAAGAATCCGAGATAACCCACAAACTATATTATCAGCCCCCAAATTAGTGAGCTATACTGTTATTTCAAAAATAACTATATATATTTTTGGAACTATTATGATCCTGCTGATTTTTAAATAAATTATCTGTATTTTCACTCAGTCATAGTCACATAGCATGTCATATAGCTTAAGAAGAGTGCTCTCAATGGGAAAAAATTTAAAAATTTAAACTTTCTGATTAGAATTGTCACTTATTCTCAGCACTAATTTTGGTTTTCTAGAATGGGAGACGAGAATATATTAATATAAAAGAACTGCCAAAATTCAGTGCCCAGAGAACATCTTATGGTTCATTTGAGAGCAATAAAGTGTTAACAGCAATAAATATTATGCTTAAATGTTATTTCATCAGTAAGACATTAAAAAATGTATTTTTAATGGTTGTTAAAAGTATACCTTTCTTTCTCAGTGTAAAAAGTCAATCTTTTTAAAAACTGAATTTGGGTACCAAATGAGAAAATCATTATACTTTAGCATGAAATATTGATATCACACACATACACACACACACACACCAGATATGGAAAGAAGCAAACAAAACTGAAGACAGTAACATTTCATAAAGAAATTAGCTCTTTATAAACCTGAAAAATCCTAATCATCATTCACATATTTACTAAAGCATTAACTAGCACTTCTATAAAGAATAGCATTTCTGTTAGACTCACCAGACAAAGTATTTTGATTGGTAACATGCCTAAGCCATTAACTGTTGTGATCTTGTTTTTGGCCAGGCTAAGATGAGTTAGATTGCTGCACAGCTCGAGTCCACTGATTTCTTCTATCTCATTGCCTAAATACCATGACTACGTTTAAGGAAAATGTTACTAGAAACATTTTGAAGAAAAAAAGAATCAGTGTGAAATCATCATTAGAAAAATCAGACAATAGCATAAAGAAAGCAGTACTATATGCTCTATACAAGATGGACACTAAATCTTGACATATATTTTTTTCATATAGAAGTTAATACTAATACCACTTAAAATTATTATTTTTTTTTTTAAAAAAGGCATACCTTTTGAGTGTGCTCAGTTGCATTTGCATCCATATGTGCTCATTTAATCAGTGAGGAAAGACATTTCAGAGTGGTTCAAAACTGCCTCATTGCAGAGTGGTCGTCCTTGGTGCTGAATGGTCTCCATGAGAAACTCATGTGCTTTCCCATGGGCAGGACTTCTGACTACAGAGCTGCCCTGGAGAGGTGACATGCACCAAGCTTTATCACCCTCATAACCAGGTAATAGCCTGGGAGATGTCATCTGCAGCAAATGGGTGATAAAAACAACCCCAAGACCCTGATATAGAGAGGAACAGCCTTTTCTTTCTGTCTATATTGGCTTCTCTTCTCCCTTTAAAATAAATGAGGCCTAAACTCTGCCTTCATTTTCTCATCCATTGATTAAGTTTCTATTCATTGCTAAAATTTTAACTTATCTTCTGTGTTCCATCCTTGTAGTAACTAAAACTACAATCTCAAAGTCACCAACTCTACTCACCTTTCTCTGTTCTCAATCTCTTTGACAAATTTCCAGGATTTAATATCGTTTCCTCACCAAAGCTCCATCTTCCCTCCCAAGTAGCCTAAGACTTCACCATTTTCTCAGCCACTCATAATCTTCAGAGCATCCGATCAATCACCAAGACCTGGCATTTTTTGCTATAAAACATCTCTTTAATCATTCCCTTCCTTTTCATTCACTCCTCTGCCAACTTAATTCAGCTTTAGCGCCAATGGGTACCTCTAACCCAGTTCTTCCTACCCTCAAGTCACCTTACACACTGTAGTCAGGTTAATTTTTTCAAAATATTGATTGGATATCATGCTTCAGTTAAAAAATTCTCATAGGATGAATTCCAAGTTCCTCACTCTGGCATTTAAGGCCCTTCACTTCAAGCAAAACCTGTTTATCCAATTCATTCCCATTACAATCCAATGAGAATTCTCCATTCTGCCAGGTCAATATTTTCAATAGTTCTAGAATGTACCAAGAACTTTCTTACTTGGCAGTGTATCTTTTTTTCATACTGCTTTTCTACTCCTTTCTAAACTCTGCCCATTCTTCAGGACTTAATTTCAAATTCTACTTTTTTTTCTTTTCTTTTTCATTTTTTTCACATTCACATTAAACCAACATCTTAGGTATTTTTTTTTTGACAGATAACCTCATTTTCTTATTTCTATTATTTTTTAATTACATAAGTAAGCACAAATGATGGACTGGAAGAACACATTCACAACATATACAGTAACATATATATATATAACATATAACATATATAAAGGATTGCTACCTAGAATACATAAAGAAGGAAAACAAATTAATAGGGAAAAAAAGACAAAACAATCCAACAGAAAATGGAGAAAGAATACGTCCAGGAAATCCCCAAAGGAACAAATCCAAGTGGCTAATATAATAAATTTATGAAAAGACACTCTGCTTCATTTGTAGTGGGGAGAATGCAAATTAAGACAAACATCATCCTCTACCCGTCAGCTTAGCAAACTTTTTTTTTTTTTGTGAGGAGGATCAGCCCTGAGCTAACATCTGTTGCCAATCCTCCTCCTTTTTTTCCCCAAAGCCCCAGTAGACAGTTATATGTCATAGTTGCACATCCTGGTAGTTGCTGTATGTGGGACTCAGCCTCAGCATGGCCAGAGAAGTGGTGCCTCGGTGCGCGCCCGAGATCCGAACCCAGGCCGCCAGCAGCGGAGTGCGCGCACTTAACCGCTAAGCCACGGGGCCAGCGGCAGCAAACATTTTAAAGGTTTTGAAGCACAGATACTTTCACACTAATGGGTGAGAAGGTTCATTATGATATAGCCACTTTGAAGGCAATTTGGCAGTATATATTATAACTGTAAATATGTCACAGCAACTTCAATTCTTGGTATTCACTCTAGACAAACCATTTCTTCCTCAAAGCCTTTTCTGGTCAACTTCTAACCCCTCACCTATCTCCTTCCATTAATCACAGAATCAACAAATTTTTTAAAGAGGAAGGAATCACAAGTAAGGTACCATAAGTCTCACAAAAACTTATATTTTGCCTCATAATTTGCAGCTATCCTAACTCTACTACTTACTAGTTATGTGACTTAGCTTTTCTCTGCTCATACTGTTCATTTGTAAAGTGGGGATAACACTAGGTTGCCCTGAAGGCCAAAAGTTAGATCATGGAAAAAGTTAGAAAATGGGTGTGAATCAGTTGCACAAACTGTAAAGCATCTCATAATTGTAAGGCATCATTACTATTACTAAATTACAAGCACATGAGGCCAAGGAATCACATCCTATACCTCTTGGCCAACAGCACAAAATGAAAGATTCAAGGCCAGGACTGATTCTGAAAAGACCTAGGCCAGAGAAAGAGATAAATTAGGAAACTAGAAGCAATGCTGAGAAAATATTGCCAAATGAACCAGAAATTCCTAGATTTTCTTCATTGGTTTCAGATTCAATCCTTGGGCTGAAGCATAGTTCTGCTTGTCATCAATATGCATTTTCAAATCTACTTTCATAAAGCTTCTCGCCAGAATGGCTCTACAAATAGACATTTATACTCACAAACACTATGCTCCTTTCTGCTTCCATTTTCTGGGCTATTTAAATAACCATTCTGGAACTAGAACAAAGACCAGATTTTTGCAGATACGGATTACAACAAAGGATGTGAAATGTGGGAAATAGGAGATTAAACTCTCACACAGTTATGGACTAAATAAAATATCCTTGGAGTAGCAATCTTTGGCAAGAAAAATTAAGCAAGGAAAACTTCAAATGGCCATCTGTCTCAATTTAGCAGAGGAAGCAATAGTCTTTAAGTCCTATTTCAGAACTAATGTCCTGGTAGCTCTGCTCCAACCAAACTGAAGATGCTCTGAATTATGGCAAAGAATAAAACAAATGCTTGCGTGTAGCTGAGTCAGGAAGCATTCCCATGGGAAGTAGGCAAGAATCAGACGACTAGATAGTTGGCCCACAACTATCCAGGGATAATGGGAATTGAAAAGGAAAGCTTGTTTATTGTGTATACAGTAATTTTCCAAGACATTAGAGGCCAATTACAGTTCCCTTGGTATATCCAGCCTACTCTCTAGCTTTGACTAGTACGGCAAGTCAGGTTTTAGGAAACTAGTATTGCGTGGGCCAACAGGAGGAAGAGTACGGATGCCTCACTGAAATCATAGCCATGGCTCTCCAGCCACCACTGCCGTCACTCCCAGCACTGGGGCAAAGGGTGAGGAATTGACTGAACATCTCTGTTGAGAAATATGTTCATTTCAGAAAAATTGTCTCCTATTTCCCAACTCTTCACTCCCCCTTAAATTTCAAGGAATTTCAGGCACTATAAATTAATCAGGTTCTTGAGTAAAGAGTACTTACAGTGGCACAACAGCTTTTCCCCTAACACCTCCCACAGTCACATCACATGTGACTACAGCAACGATCACGGTCAACATGCAGGACTGGTCCATACAGAGCTCTGAGCTGCAGCTGGCTGTCAGGAATACTTTGTCTCCTCAATCTCCCCTTTTCTTATTTTAAGAATCTTCACAAAATGTTACTTGTCCTCCCTCCTTACATTATTCCTCCATGTTCTTTCATAGGTCCTGGGACTTTCCGGTAAGAAATATAATCTGATAAATCACTAAACTATCACAATGAATTAGCTTATTGGGTTAATCCTCTTAGCTACATTTTCATTTTAAAAGGCCACTATCAGGAGAACGAGACTCAAAGAACTCAAAGTCATCATACTGCATTCCAGCTCTAAAGTTTTACGATTCTGTGAATAAATCTTTTACAGTGGAATTTTAGATCCTCGTGGAAACTGAATGAAGGAGCCCAGTGGCACATTAGCATAACTTTACAGCTAGGGAAAAGTCCAACAACACATTTTTACATTTTGGCAATGCTGTCATCGGTTCACAGTGCTTGACATGAATTATTCACTAGTTCAGTATTCGCTCTTATTCATTTGTCCACAATCATAAAATATGGTTTGGGTGTATAGAAAACAGTTACTGAGAAATAAGTAAGAAATCCATCACAATTTTCCTAGTGGAGAGAACCACAATGATGGCCTTAATCAAAACCAATCCTGAAAGATCTATATCACCTTACCAGTGAAAAATGTTCTCCACCATAAAAGCGAATCTCTCTAAGAAATGAAACACGGATACACTTTATTTTTTTTTATTTTTTATTTTTTAAAGATTTATTTATTTATTTTTCCCCCCAAAGCCCCAGTAGATAGTTGTATGTCATAGCTGCACATCCTTCTAGTTGCTGCATGTGGGACATGGCCTCAGCATGGCCGGAGAAGAGGTGCGTCGGTGCACACCCAGGATCCGAACCCGGGCCGCCAGCAGCGGAGCGCACGCACTTAACCGCTAAGCCATGGGGCCGGCCCCACGCATACACTTTAAATGGCTATGTGACAAAAGTAGTAATTACTCAATGAATTGCAACATGGGAGAAACAATGTAATTCAGAAGACTAGTTTCAGTTCAACCGTTTTCTAAATAATCTTAGACTAGTCACTGAATCTCCCTGGGTTTTGGGCTCCTCTCCCATAAAATAACAGTTAGCACTAGATGATCTGTAAAGTCCAGTGTGGATTTAAAACTTCCATGAATCACTGTTTAAAATTCCATTATTCTATAATTATAAAACAAATTCCAATGAACAGTCAGTCAATATTTATAGGTAAAGAATAAATTGCATTCTTTCTTAAGACGAAATAAATTTCCTTATCCTTGGCAAAGTTTATCATCTTGTGATTTGG